ACTTTGGCCACTTCTGCAGTCGTTAATCTGGGATCCATTTCGATGCTCCTCTTCACAGCCCTTTTTGTCCTCTCCGATGGACCAGGACGACCCAGACGCTGCTCAGTTGTTTCCTTGCCGTGTTTCCTGAACTGCACGATGATTCTGTTGACTGTCGAAAGCGGGATTCCCAAATTCTGCGAAAGTTGCCGCTGACTTATTCCACCATCTGCTTGACCAACTATCCTTCCTCTAACAAAATCTGACAATTCGAGAGAACCTTGAGTGCTGGGCATGTTGTAGCACAAGATAATCAGTGTGCGGACCATTTTCCATTTATATAGTGCTTTGTGAACACAAATTAGTTAGCATAAATCAGTTAAATGACGAAAAATTAGGTGTCTATTTACTTGTGACCACTCAGTGTACCAGTTATATATTTTATTTCATATAACCAATTGCATCATCACATGCTTAAAGACACAAAAGGAATAAGAATGACATGATAGTTGTACAAAGCATGGATTGTAGGAACTACTTGAAACTAGTCTCTATCGATAATGAAATAATTATGTTAGGCCTCACAATTAATTGCTCGTCTTAAGTCATTTTTACAACATTCTTCATTTTACGGGAGTGATTTTCACGATTTATCTTTTTACTCTTTGCTGCAATTAGTATTTTTTTTTATAAGCTTAAAGCTTATGAGTCAAGCTCGTAATAGAATTCGAAAATCGTGATGCTCCGCTACCTGGATTCTGGAGACGTTTAAAGATCTCTGTCTAAATATACATTAACGAGAGCTCACCAGAAGTCGCTTTTCAGTACATTTTATTTAGTTGGGTATCATGTTGCAAATATATAAGTTCGCAGTGGTTAAATGTTACTACTTTTATAAGTAATGACCAGAAGAAGGAACTGGACAGCTATAAGTAAAGAGAGAAATTATTAACATAATTTTGATAATTAGAAATTTTCTTATGTATAACAGGAAATATACGTTTTTACTAGTTTAGAACCAAATGCAGCCGTACCTATACAAATTACAAGTAAGCAATACATCTATAAAATATACAGATTTGTGTGCTCTCTTGTCATCGGAGTTATTTCTTCTCTTATTACACATATTACTATTCCGTCGTTGTGTTATTTTATTATTAAGAGATCCTTATTTCCAATGAAAACCATATATAATTTCAATTACGGATATCAAAAAGCATCACTTATGTCAGCCAAGTAAATGAATAGAAAAGTTGTAACATTATTTTAAAACTGTTTAGGCCTTATCAAAAGATGACGTCCTATTGATATATTTCTAGATAAACTTAGCAGAATCTGAAGGAACTCTTAAATATATACATGTATCAGTACAAGCTGAAGTACCCGTCAACTGACAGGGAATGTTTAAACTTAATTAAAATAATGTAAGTTTAACAGAAATCATATATTTCAAAGTAATAACTTGAACATAAACTTTATCTCAAAATTTTAAAATTATAACAAAGTTTCTTCATAAACAACATTTGCAGTTTGCTTTCCATCTACCAATAAATAAAGATGTTGATGTGATCCCACCCTTGAACACCCTAATGATCTTATTCACCATGAGAAAAGCATGGTTGTTTGAGAAACAATCCAGCAACTTTCATACTTTGACCTTGGATCCCTTTAGAATATTCAACATTGGCTAAAGCGTCAACCTGCCAAGATTGTTTGAGATTGACCCAATCGGCTCGGAGAAATTGACCAACAGGCTTTACAAAATAGAAATACGGTTAAGTTCAATTTTGACCCACTCAGAACATTCCAAATAGTTCAGTGTTTGTGTAAAAATTTTGGTTGAAATTGGCCCAATAGGCTTGGGGGAGTTAGGCTGCAAATAAACACATATTTCGTCTTTATATATAAAAATATATACACTTTTTTCCGATCATGGATTATTAAAAGAGAAGTTTTTTGTAACAAATCCTTCGCGGAAACTAGCAGGTTTGTTGTAATGTATTGCGTTTACCTGTATTTATATCTCACACATGTATTCATATATTTCATCATGTGCACTATCAAACTCACTAGAAAATGACTTATCATATGTCTTGAATACTAAAGACCCTTCTCACCTACAAATATTTCAATTGTTTAGAATTTACGTTTTTATTCCAAAAAATATTTTTCTTTATATATAAAAAAAGTGTTATGTTCCTGTAATACAAACACTGGAATTGTAAATGGAATATTCTACCCGAACGGCACATTATACAAAAAAAACCCCATTAAAATTAATGTTATAAATCAACTACTAATTCAGGTACAAATATAAGATATTTTTGCTGTACTAACCCACTGAAGTACAACTAAACCATAATTTTTAAAACATAATCTAATATTGCTTTAGTTAATCCAAATGAAATTTTCAAATGGTCTACTTACTCCTGGCATCAAATGATCGGTACTTCCTACTTTCTTTACTTTGTTTCTATTTAAAATCCGCTTAACAAACTGTTCGATTTGAGAGTTGAACTTCATAAAGGACACGTAAGCAAGGTAACATAGAAAAAGAATCAAGGCTTCGTGCCAGAAAATTACATTGTCATTGAAAAATACCATGAGAATGATTAATATGATGGAATAGAAAGTGACATCTCGAAAGAGAGGCCACCATGTCAGTTGCAGTACGTCTTTGCTGAAAATGGCACACATGGAAATTACAAATAGAATGTTGAAGACAGCTGATCCCACGATAGTGCCGATTCCGACATCATCAAACGAGATGAAAACCCCGATGATGCTGGTGAAGAGTTCGGGAGCACTTCCTCCAGCTGCCATGAAGGTTGCACCCGCTACATCCTCGGATATTTGAAGTTTCTCAGTGATCACGTCTAGAGAAGGGCGAAAAAACTCGTCGCAGACGATAGCCAATCCGGCAAACATGTAGACAAGTCCAAAAACGTGAAAGACCACTGCTCCATTTTTACGTTGCTGCTCAGAGAACAAATCTTCTGGAAACTGAGGCGGTTTTTTAGTTGGCTCACTAGCATTTTGGCTTGCGGATTGTAACAGATGTCTAGAAAGCACGAGATTGTATTCTAGCTCCGTTTCTTCGAGATCCCAAAACCTTTTCCATTCACCGCTAGGACTAGTTTGTTCGATAATGATCGACGTAGAGTAAAAGTAAGACAGAAAAAAGACCAAAGATAAACCAACTCCAAATACCTGAAGAGGAGGTCTCCATCGTTTCTTCAGGAATTGTTTTGATGAAACTTGTTCCATTATTTAATAAGATATAGAATAAGACAATTGAATAATTCTTAAGCTCAATTTTTTTCCTTTCACTTTAATATAAGAGTAAGATTACAGATCCATTTAAGAATGTTAATTGTGAAGTTGCTGTATGGTCCATCTTTAACACTGAAATGCACACAACTGTCATATTTTGTCACAGACTGGTTTATAATTCCTACATTGAAAATTTCACACTTCAACGCAAATCCTAGAAAAAATTGACGACGATCCATCAACGACGACGACAGGAAAGAAAATCTGTAATGAAATTAATTTATGAGTTAAATACTAAAAGCAAACATGTGGCAATATGATGTTTATTTTAAATAAATTCAATAAGTAAACGTTTGCAAGAAACACTCTTAACCTAAAGCCTAAACCGATTACATTGTTTTATTTTAAACAAGCTTCTTCATTGTTTATCGTAGGAAATACACATGCTAGAATTACAAAAATAATTCAAATTTGACCCATAAATTTTCAAGTAGAATTAATACAGAATGCAAACCTTGTTTTTTTTTCTAGCATCTAGTTTCTTTTAAGCCTTTACATTATCAATGTTTCTCACTAATGACTGATACAAATTTAACTTTACCATAAGGATGCATTCAATCATCTAGATTCGTATTAGGAAGATACTTCAGAGAGATTGGAAACCATTTCCCTAAATGAACATGACTCCCACAATACCTAAGTTAATAAGATATTCAGCATACCTGACTTAATGATATGATGACACAAAGAGCTCGTTTTCAAAGTAAATATATATATATATACTATAGGAACATCTGGAAAATTAAGCTTCATAAATTTTGTATTAATCTATTTTCTCTCTTGATTATAAAGCCTTTAGTGTCCAGTAAATTCAAAGAATTAAATAAATTAGAAAAAAAAGTATATTCATTATTAAATTTCAAACTTCGTGACGTTATTAATGTAAAAATCCATAATAGAGTTTGAAGAAAAAAACGAACTTTTGAAAACAATTTTTAAAACTTAAGTAATTTTCCACCTCAACAATAACTGAAGCATGGTTTCTTACATTAACAACTCATTGGCCTTGATATAATTTAGTGCTTTGGTAAATAAAATATATTGTTTGTTATTCAAATACTTTCATATTATTTATCGCAAAGAGTAGTTCTCATGTACTACAAATTAAGTTCCGGAAATAAAAATCTGGATACTTAAAAATGTTCTAAACTTTATTGTTGTGTCAAATAAATTTATTTTAAATTCCGACATAGCTCGAGAAAAATAATGTACCCAACGAGATCACAAACTGAGATCGTAATGAGTTTTGGGATTCATTTACAAAATATATTTTGTACTTTATTTTATTAGTGAAATAATAATTCTGTTTATGTTTCAATTACTTGTTACATCTTCACTGGCTGCATTATTCTGGCTTTTACTCAAAACATTTTATACAAAACGCAACGGAATTCAAACGTTTCACACGTTTTTGGTGTTGATTCCGAGAAGTAAAAGCGTGATCGAGAGATTTTTAAATTAATACATATATCAACACTTTTTGAACCCTTCCACTTCCCATACCAAAAAACTTTAACGGTTTAAACTTGTCAGTACCTCAGATATAAATAACTTATTTCTGTAAGTTGTGAAAACTTTTAAAATGGTATAAAATTTATTATTAGGTGTTTTTTAATCATTACAGACTATTTTCTCACATTGATTCATTATTTATCACATTATTATTTTCTAAAATATGATTTTTACCAAAAATTAAAACGTTCGTTATTAACAACTCAACGAGCACAGAGCATTATGGGTAAAATGACATTCTGACGTAGATAGATTCTAAGTTTAATAACATATTAATAACTCTCTCGTAAATAATGAAATGAATGGCATCGGATACGTTTTTTCTTACATTTAAGCATCATTACTGGTATTTTGTACGACAGTAAGTAACATAATAACAGGGAGAAGAAAGTTGAACGAAAATCAATTAATTTTTTTACATATTTGTGTACAACGTATGCTTCAATTTTACCTATGGAAGGTTAGTGTTACAACGATAACGTGCGACAAAACACGTAAGAAATAACTCTGAAAGTACCCATTAATAAAATATTAGAACCAACACATTGCTGTTGCGAGTTATAGTTCTACAATGAAAAAAACATTTACAGACGTAAGGTATTTTTGGAGTGGCTAAAAACAATGACGGAGCAAGGAAAGGTATAGGGTTACTTGTAAACAACTGTATAGAAATGATAGGTTTAAAGTACTTTTAAACAATTTCAGAGAAGAAATGGATTTGTAGAGACTCCTTAATAACTGTACTAGGTGAATTGGTTACTACAGGCTAGTAAACAGTTCAGATGAAATAAGGTTTTACGTGGTAGTTTGTAAGCAACAGGATTGGGTTTACTACTTCGTAAACAACGGTAGAAAAGAGAATGGTTTGTAAAAGCTTGTGGCTTGTAAGCAGCTTTAGAGAGGACTCATTTGACTTTACATAGTTTGTAAGCAACAGTATGGAAGGAAATAGGTTTGTAAAGGCTCGTAAGCAGTTACGAACTCCTAGGACTGGGTTTACTCCAATTTTTAAACAATGGAAGGAAAGAGAATGGTTTGTAAAAGCTTGTGGCTTGTAAGCAGCTTTAGAGAGGACTCATTTGACTCTACATAGTTTGTAAGCAACAGTATGGAAGGAAATAGGTTTGTAAAGGCTCGTAAGCAGTTACGAACAGGACTGGGTTTACTCCAATTTTGAAACAATGGTAGGAAAGAGAATTGCTAAAGGCTTGTGCGCAGCTGTGAAGAGATTGAGTTAACAATAACTTGTGAGCAACAATATAAAAGTAAATAGGTTAGTGAAAGCTTGTAAACAGTGTGAAGGGAATTAGTTAACAGTAACTTGTGAGAAACAATATAAAAGTAAATAGGTTAGTGAAAGCTTGTAAACAGTGTGAAGGGAATTAGTTAACAGTAACTTGTGAGCAACAGTATAAAAATGAATAGGTTAGTGAAAACATGTAAATAGTGTGAAGGGAATTAGTTAACAGTAACAGTAACTAATAGTTAACAGGTCTTGGCTAGTGAAAGTGGGTTTTCTCGGGGTACTCCCGCCCCCTCCTCTACACACACACAAATTCTTAGTCATTATATCTACAGATCCCAGCAGTGGCGTTTGGACTTATTGATCCAGGCCAGGCCCTGAAAAGGTTCGTTTGTTTCGATGGTTTGTCAGCAATTAGTTCTCGACTCATCTTCATCTCCTATACTTCCAACCTGCCTCGACTTCACCTTTGCTCTCACGTCTACCTACCAGCCTCAAGATTTTGCTTTTAAACTACAGCCCAGTTAGAATCAGCCCACTTGGCTCGAATAGACCAATACCCTCAGAAGTTTATAATCTTCAGTCTCGCGCGGCTTGAAAGAAGATTACTTAATCTTCGAACACTCTTGATGATCAATTATTTCTTTCGAATTAATTAATTTTACATCAAAACAACTGCCAGACAGACAGACACACGGGTTAGAAAAGGAATAAGTTCACAGTAGCTTGTAATAAGAGTGGAGAAGATAATTAGTTAGTTCAAAACCATGAAAAACAAAGAAATAATGGTGACCTCTAGGCAACCACAATGATGTGTTTGAAGTATCCCATAAGGATTTTAAAACTCTTACTTAGTTTGTCATTGCTATTGTATTCTTATCAACAACTTATCTACTGATCTAGACCAGATACTAACATGATGAGTTCAGCAGCTAGCTGATGATAATAATACAAGAGCAATAGATAGCTCACAAGCAGTTCTTGGGGCATTCTTGTAAACTTTTTTTTTAACAACTGCCACAATAAACAGCCCGGCATCTTAATGTGGATCCAATAAAATGAGTCATTCCGGAAAGGTTTGGGTTGTTTTTATTGGACACACACAAAAAAGACGTTTAGCTCTATTTTCGAGGTCTAGGTTGCTGGACCAGAGTCCTGACCTGACCCGAGACCATGAGAACCAACAAGGAGAAGTTAACTTGTAAATGTAAAGTAACACGATACAGCAATGAAACATGTTTGAAATGTTTTAGATGTAGTTATGTAACGGTTAAGCTAACCAATGGGTCCAGGTTGGATGAAGGATGAACTTATTCAAAGATATCCAAATCAACTTGACATATGAACTGAATCGAATATTCGACAATCGATTACTGCACTGACAGCAAAACATAAAAAAAGAACGGGTACAGTAGTATCGTTATCTTCGAAAAAAAGGGAGATTGGAATCATATTTAAAAATTATTAGTATTAATATTTTGTCAAACTAGTGACGCATTAAAAAATCAAAGATGCAGTATTGAAGAAGAAGCAGATGCACGATGCATTATCAGAATGAAGAGTAAATATAGGATGGTATAATGGACAGTATGATGCCACCATAGTGTAAACCATACAGATTTCAACATGTCATATTTTCATTCAAATTTAGCTGTTTTTTTTTTCGTTTTAGAAGCTGTGTCGAGCTTCATTCATCAAGATCTATCGAAATAACCCGAAATCAACGGTTTCCGGAATGACCATCCTGTTGACCCTCCTAGGCTCAGTGCTAAAAGATGTTGGACTGCCTCGTGTGGCAGGTATTAAATTAGAGAAAACAGCAGTGAGCAAACATTCCTTTACCTCAACCCTTGTCTCAGAAAATGTTATATACACTGTAGTTTTAACATGAAGATCTGTCTTTGTCTTAACAGGGAAATAGTGAAACATTAACTCAATACGAATATGAATGAACAATTTTAGCAATGACGGGTAAACGCTTGCTTCTATAAATCAGGTAATAAAGAGACTATCTAACAAGAACAGTTTTAGCAAGGACAGGTAAACACTTGCTTCTACAAATCAGGTAATAAAGAGACTATCTAACAAAAACAATGTTAGCAAAGACAGGTAAACACTTGCTTCTACAAATCAGGTAATAAAAAGACTATCTAACAAAAACAATTTTAGCAAGAACGGGTAAACACTTGCTTCTACAAATCAGGTAATAAAGAGACCATCTTACAGGAACAGTTTTAACAAGGACAGGCAAACACTTGCTTCTATAAGTCAGATAATAATGAGACTATCTAACAAGAACAATTTTAGCAAAGACAGGTAAACACTTGCTTCTACAAATCAGGTAATAAAGAGACTATCTTACAGGAACAGTTTTAACAAGGACAGACATACACTTGCTTCTATAAGTCAGATAATAATGAGACTATCTAACAATAACAATGTTAGCAAA